CTTAAACCCATGCCCCCATGAAAAAATAGTGTGCCCCCGACAAAAAAGAAGTACGGCTCTCATAAAATAGATTTTTGTTAAATAGGAAAATGGTTACACATTGAGAATTTATCTAGAAAATGTACTAATGATACGTTTCTTAGTAGTTTTTCTTAAAAAAATCTAAATTTTAAATTAAAATTAAACCATGAGAGTTAGATAAATAATTATGTTTATTTTTACGCAACAACAATAACAATCAAGTCTTAATCCCAAGAGAGTTTGACGTCGGCTAACATGAATATGTACACATATGAAATCAGACTTTAAAAAGTTAAAACAATAAGAAAATAAAATATAAAATATAATAGTAATAAAAAGGATAAAAACATAGACAGATAAGATAAAGATAAAAATGATAAAATAATCATATAAGATAAACAAACAGATCAAAGACATAATTAAAAAGATACAAAAGATAAGAAAAATGAAAAGATAAAAAGATAAAAAGACCACTAGAGAAGGTTAATACAAACTAATCGATTTAATTACTTTTTCATTAGTTGCAAGCTAATTTAAGAAATATAATGTGTTTTGTTTGCTATAATAATATCCAAATTGATTATTGATCACAATATTGATTCGGTTCAGTACACTTGCACAAGAACTATAGTAGTTAACTATAAACTTAATGAATAATGGATGAGCATGTTTGGCATTCAGCATTTGAGTGATTAGCGATTAGCGGTTAGCGGGTTATGTAAGTGGGTTGTGAATAGCGAATTTAGTCAATAGGTTTGACTAGTGGAATCATTTCAACGATTAGCGATTAGCAGATAGCGGGTTATGTTAATGGGTTGTGAATGGTGAATTCAGTCAAAGGGTTTGACAAGTGGAATAAGTTGACGGGTTGCGAGAAGATGCTTGCTAATAAAAAATACATTTATTTTATATTAGATTAGTTTCTCAAAATCAATCTAATCTAATTTGCAAGTAGATATTATTTTATATCTACTTGCCAAAATGAATAAAATGGATAGTATCCACTCAAAATTGTGAATAATATTTTGTTTTAAATTTTGCCCCCAACAATAAACTATCCTGGGATCCGCCACTGGTCACAGTCTAGGCCGGGAGGCCACGGCCGCACCATTCGGCCAGCTGGTTCCACAGCTATAGACCTTTATAGTTGTGGACCCCTCCGTCGCACTGGGAGCACGCCCTCATCTCTGGGCGGCATCAAGTCCTCCCACCGCTGCAATCTTAATCAAATGTAATGAGTTTTCTAGCTAGAGACAATAAACTTTTATCTCAATCTCGTGATTTTGATTCATATTATATGTAGTGTGCACATTACCCATGTCGTTTACATATACTCCGCATTGATAATAAAAATGTGCATATTTGAATAGGTCTAAAACATAAATAATAATAATAATAATAATAATAATATACCATACCACACATAAATTCTTCAAACTCGTGTTTCTAATTCCTCAAAAAAAAAAAATTAGTAGACGTATTTTTTGCAATATAAAAGATGTTATTAACAAATCCTTTAAATAATTTACAACCTCTATTAATATTTACAATTTTAAATCATATCGAGTTACACTAGTTCTTTTTATTACACGGCACGTACCAAGTACAAAAATGGAATAGTTAATGCAAGTACACCGCCTTTTTTTAATCAAGATAGGAAATACTACTTCCGTCCCTTAAAACTTTGACAAAGTTGACCGGCACGGAGAATAATAAAGTAAAAACTGTGTGGTTAAGGTTTGTGCAGAGGAGAGAGAAATAACAGAAACCACAAAATAATTGATTAAAAGGGAAAGTGTCAAAGTTTTTTGGGACGTCCCAAAAAGAAAAGATGACAAAGTTTTAAGGGACGGAGGAGGGAATACCAGTATGAAGTTATTAAATGTTAACATGAAGACTTTCATATCTATGATAAAAAATGTGATATGCATTGCATGACTTCACCTCTTTCCTTCTCAAAGCGTTTCACAAACGTTTGGAATAATGAAGGAGCAGTTGAACTTGTGTACGTACACTACATCTTTTATACACATGTATTTTTGCTTGTACACACGGGCGTAGTCAGGAGTAAGAGTTGGGCTGGGTCGATACAAAGAATTTTTGCAAATTTTTTTTAAGAAAATCTTTTACATTAAAAATATAAGCAATTTTAAAATTTGGGTTTGATCGGGGCTCGGTTGGCCACCCCTCCACCTCCGCCCCTGCTTGTACAAAGACACGAGTTTTGCTTTTTTATACGAGTTACTTGTGTACACAAATAAAAATAGAGGTGTACAAAATGTGTATACAGAAATGGTGTACTAACACAATTTTCCATTTTGGAGATGATGAAAGATCTTGATGGGAAATAAAGTAGTAGTAATTTAAATCACCTATTAATACACATGCAAATAACTTTTTTTTTTGTTTTATAATGCACTTGAGTCACGGATAAGAGATTGCATACTTTCTTAAATTGCTTAGATCCAAATTAGTACGGTCTCAAAGTAGCAACAAAAATAGTGATTACAACGTAGCAACTTTCTAATCAATATATCGCTTATTAGTTATTATCATGTACATTTACAACACATGATAACTTTTAAATAAACTTTACTTATACCATTTGCTTTTCTCTGAATTTCACTATATGTTGTCATATCCTTTTTATAAATCTTTAATGATCCAAAAACTTATGAAATTGTGGATGCTGTTGTTGATTGGCTAATAGATGTGAAGGCAAGCACACAGGAAGGACAACACAGCAAAAGCCAATGAAGTGAAAAATCATGAAGAAGTAAGAGAGGTACAAAACATAGAAATGGAGAATGTGGAAACAGAATTACAAGATACGCAGAGGGAAAAAGAGCAACTGAAGAATGCATGACATTCCTGTCAAAGTTCATGCAAGACACCAGTTCTCATCTTTTCAAAAATACAGAACAGTACGACAAACATTTTCTGGGTTACTGCTTTTATGAGAGTTCAATGGAGAAAGAGTAAGAATCCATAACCTTGCATTATTTTACATTATAAACTGATTATTATAAAAACTACACACTTTCAATTTTTTTATAGTGGTAACAATAGAGTTGATAGTGAGATTCAATGAGTCTTTCTGTGACAAGGGAAGATATGCTCCTCTAAGCTTCTGCAAAATTTATTCCTTCTGCAATTGTCAATTGCTGGACATATTATCTCAATGAAGTGGAGTTAAAAATGGACCAACAATATGGGAAGCAGTTCTATTTTTGCCTGTAACAATCAGTGAGTAAAAATATTTGAATTTATATTTTGTGATTACAGGGAAAATAACAAATTTATTTTTTATGTGATTGTGAAGGACATATTGACAAGGTTTATGCAAGAAGGGTTTGATATCGATATGAGAAATGCTCTTCATAGAGATTCAGATGATTGGATTTCTTTGAATAATCAAATATGGGACATTGCCAAAGAAGATTTTGTAAGTATTAACTTTTGAAAATGAAGATCAAATAAAACGTAGTAAAATATATTTTTTATACATCTATTTGCAGATAGTGATTCCATTTCTGTACAAGAAACACTATGCATTTTTTTATAAACACACTGTCAAAGAAGATACATTTGGTGGACTATAAAAAACATGCAGACTTGAAGTTGCATAAAAAAGTTGTTGATCTACTTGTAAAAGTTTACATTTTCTTATTAATAGTACGTGATTAGTTGTGCATGTATTTCTATTAATAACAGAAAAAAATCTTAATTGTTTAATTTTAATACAGTGTACATAGATGTCACTTTATTTGAAAAAGAAGAACCACCCAAGGGCAAATGAAGTGAGAAGGTATGAATTTGAAGATGTGGACTTTGAATGGAAAACCAAGAAAGATAGTAATGAATGTGGCTTGTACCTACTCATGAAAATGTACTTATTTGAGGGAGTGCATTTTAATTACACTCTAAAAAGGATAGTTAATTTTGTTATTAAATTTGATGCTATATTAATTTTGTTTTGAATATGTAAACTGAACAAATAACATTTTTTATACGAGGTGGAAGATGGAAAATTTCATCGTGCAGAGATTTGCTTGTTACTTACAAAATCTGAAAGAAATGATGTGCTAAATGAAGTTAAGAAGAAGGTTGAGCAGTTCATAAAAATGAAGACCATAAAAGAAGGAAAAAGGGTGTCAAAATAGCTTCAAACAGTTGGATTGTTATCATCAGCCGTATGCATTAAATATCAGCAGGACAACAACAGTAATTTTTCGCAGCCCAATGTCCTGCTTTATCATAAATCCGCATGAGTCCCATTAAAGATCACTCTATATATACATGAGGGATGCTTCATACGGAGTATTTCTTGAGTTGCTCTAAACCGTTGAGAGAACTACCAAGGCATGTATGGTTGGCATGTATGTATACATGGCCAGCAAACATTTGAGGATGATGAAAAGGTAAATATGATCATGAATTATTAAATTATTTAATGAATAATAATAGTAAATACTCTGTATTAATTATAATAATATTACGGAATACAAATTTTGGTTATTCTAACAACTTTTCAAATTTATTTAGGTATTAGAGTTCATGGTCACATTAAGAAAAAAGCAAAATCAGATGCCTAAGTTTCAACCTGAGAAGGGCATCTGTATGTGTTGAAGTATTTGTCCCACACCAGAAAGCTTTAAAACCCTCGAGTCTTAACAGTATGCCAAAAAAAATTGTGGAACAAGAGAACTACATGAACTTTTGTAGTACCAAGAACATTCCAAATGGGAGATCATTAGTAGAATACAAGCATTAGATATATTTCAGTATGAATTTTTAATACTTTTATAAAATATTTCCCTTTTTCTTTTTTTTAAAATAATTGGTCATTTCAACGTACAATTGAACCTATCTTGCTTTGACAATATCATCAAGTATTGAAATGTGACCATATTCATTTCCCTTCTATTATTTCCTCCATCCTTACATATGTAGTGTTTCGTACTTATTACACATATTTGCATGGGTATATGATATTGCATGGCCCATGCATGTTACTTTGTTGTTTCACATCATGTATGCTATTGCATAAATACCTCACGGGAGGTTCATAAAAACATACAAGAGAGTATTATCTTTTATTATGAAGAGTTTCATTTTAGTTTCATAATTTTATAGTTCTTGTCAATTTTATCATGGTATCAGAGACGAAATCCTGGAAATAAGATAGTTTATCTTTATTTTAGAGATGACAAATTTGTTGTCATTTTTCCGTCCTTGGATAATTGATTCCGGAGCTTCCGAACACATCACTTGTGAAAATACTAATTTGGTCAATGTCTCGAGTTCCATCTCTGAGCAAGAAGTCAGAATTCCTAATGGTGATTTAATTCCAGTACATGCCGTCGGTAGCTTGTATTTACCGAATGGGCTTTATCTCCGCCGTGTTTTATACATCCCAAAATTTCAGTGCAATTTACTTTCAGCAAGTCGTCTTACAAAGGATTTAAATTGCACACTGACATTTTTTCAAGACTTTTGTGTTTTACAGGATTTACCCTCGAAGAAACCAATTGGGGTGGGTCGGTTTCGTGATGGTCTTTATTACCTTGATTTTCCAAGAGGTGAAGGGATGGCAATGTCAGTCTCCATTAATTCCGATCTATGGCATCAACGTTTGGGACATGCATCTGATGGGAGGTTACATCATATTACTTCTCTCAAAGGCTTTCGGGAAAGTAGTAAATTTTGTGATCCCTGCATCCGAGCTAAACAAACTAGACTATCATTTCCTACAAGTACCATTAAGACTACTCGTTGTTTCGAGTTGATACATTGTGACATTTGGGGAGGCTATAGGTGCGATACAATCTCCGGTGCACGGTACTTTCTATCTATTGTTGATGACTTTACAAGAGGGGTGTGGATTTATTTAATGAAAAATAAATCTGAAGTTTCTCAACTTTTGATTCAATTTTGCAACATGGTTAGTACTCAATTTGAGCAAAAGGTCAAGCGTATACGGGCTGATAATGGTTTGGAGTTTCAAACCAATATTTTATTTGATTATTATGGACGCACTGGAATATTATTGCAGACATTTTTTAATAGGCTAACATACTAAAACACAACCAGCTAAAGTTCTAATTGAGAAACACAATAGAATCACATTAACAGTACAGTATGACGTAGTTTCATATGATGCTTTGGTCTAACTTAGATTTAAAGTAAATGAATGATTGTGGATGTGAGCCATTTAGTAAGATAAACATCCCACATAATTTCACCCAAAATTTTGATTTGATCTCTAGCAAATGTTGTGACGCCGGCGCTGCACACCCATCGTCACAGGGAGTGTTGTAATGCTTTTTTAATCTAAATTAATTTCACAACTCACAACACAACTTCCGAGCTTAAAGAAAAGTTGAAATTGTTGGTTTTAAAACAAAGAATACATCCTTGCAAAAGACAAAAAATTCCGTACCTTCAAAAATTCTTGACGAGGAAGAAGATAATTCATCGCTACTGTGAGTAATATGAACACCCGAAAGAAGAGTTTAGGCATTGGCTTGGATGGAATAACTCTCGAATTGCAATTTTGAATGAGATAGAGGCATGACCTAATCAATAAGAAATGAAAGGACAACACCAATGTGATCAAAATGACTCCCGACATCTTTCTATATACAAACTGCTGTGGAAAAGCAGCACGAATTCCCGCTCAAATTTGCGGGTCAATGAGTGGGTCGGGTTTATTAAACGGGTTGGACAGCTTTGTTAAGAAAATAATACAATTCATTTATTGCTCAATAAATGGTGAAGCCATGCAGATGAAAGGCATTAAATGTAGACCCATTCAAAATATTGTTAAATTTTGGTTCGCACAGGATCACATGTACGAGTCAACAGTGGCTTTTGTAAATCCTACAATCACATTTATTGTATGTCACTTCAATTGTTTAAATGTAGACCTTTTCACGGATATTTAGCGCTATTGTTCAAAGGTCTAACATGAGTACATGCAAAATTAACTGTTTGAATGTGAACTTATTGTGATGTCTATTTAACAATCCTATCGATCATTGATTAAAATTTAAAAACGCTGCATGATTTTGTCCATTGGGCAACCTCTCATACATCCTAAAAGCAGTTCAAAAAGGGTAGTATAAATATGTTCAACTTCATCAGTTTGGGACATGAAAGTAAAATAAGTCATTGCAATAGCACTGGAAACGAGAGATGTATTGGCCTTTGAAGTCGATACCTGTTTTAGGATGGGAGACACTAGAAGAAGTTTTCTATAATGAACAGGTATATTATGTGCTGAAAACTCTTATTAAAATTATACCAAAATAATTTATGTGTTTTGAGTAGTGTTTAGCTATGTTTATAGAATCAAAAAATTAGCAGGAAGGGCGTATTGATGATCCAATGAGTAATTATTGTTGAATAACACAATGGTGAGATACAACTCTCTAATTAGTTCTTACAAATCCTAACTTTCGTATGCTTTCTAACAATGGCTAAATACATATATCATTGGTAAGACTGCAGGAAATGTTTCTCATAGACATTCTCAATGGCAAAAACAAATGGTCTACACAAGGACCATTCTAGTAATTGGCTTTAAATTCCTTGGGGTTTCAAAACTAAAATTTTTGATTGTATAGATCAACACACATACTTGAAGCCTTGAAGGTCCAAATGTATGATATAATTTTACAGATGTGTGCCAAAATAATAGATTTGAATAGAAGTTAATAACTTTATATGAGTGACAAAAAATTGCAAATTTAGGAAATTTATAACTCATCAATGTTTTTAGAACCAATCAGTCTTTGATTGCTTTTAAATGCGAAATAAAACCTGAAAAATTAAGGAATAAGGATAATACCAGAAAAATTATCCACTTTAGTATATTTAACTGATCAAACTGTTCTCTGGAGCATTGTATATTTCCATATAAGGTCGATATTCGTATGAGAGATGCAACTTATATTAAATAAATCATTAGATAAGTTACAAATCACAAAATATGAATGTGAGCTCAAATGCAACTAGTCAATCTTTAAGTGCCTTAAAGAATGAAGGTAACTAATAAGTAAAAAGGCAAGTTATAAAATAGAGTAAATTAAGTCCAAACAAAAACTGGAATTTTAAGTAAATCCAAGCCAGGCTAATCCAACACAGTGCCAATGTGCGAGAGATATACAAACTAATCCAGGCCAGGCTAATCCAACACAGTAGTGACAGGGCCAGGTGGCCAAAACCGAGTCCACCAATAATTGAAATTATGGATGGACCAAATCGGGTCGGCTCGGCCCTGAACCGGCCCAGCCTGTCACTATGCGGGCCCGGCCCGGCCCGGTTACGGATTGGGCGGTGCAGGCTTTTACCCGGCCCGGGGGAGGCTAGCGGTTCGGGCACGGTTCACAAAAAGGAAGGCCCGGCCGGTTCGGGCCAACGACTATATTTAAAAAAACAAAATCTTTTGGCTACCAAACAGGTCCTTAGAGCCGTTGTGATTGAACCCAAACGGCTATATAGCCGTTGGGAGCCTTCCTGGGGTCCAGGGGTGGGTTAGGGTGGGGGGTAGGGGAACAAGAAAACTATAAATACTCCATTTTTTCTATACAATTTACTACACATCTTCTCCAAATATTCCTACTCTCTAATCTCTATTCTCTACTAATCTTCTCCATCTTCATCTTCTCAAATTTATAACTACATATATTATATTATATTTACATATATAATCATCTCTAATTTATTTACTTATATTTACATTTTAGATATACTTAATATATACTGATAGATATTAAATTATTATATATAAGTGTATTACTAATCTTATAGTAATATACTTATATTATATATACTATAAACATAATATTATATAGGAAAAATTGATTGTAATAATCCCAACTATTGGCGGTCCGCTTATAATAATCCCAACTATCGATTATCTCAGAATAATCCCAACTTTTGTAATAATTTTTACGCTTTTTTCTATTTAAAATTCACTTGTTATAGCAGGTCATATCTGGTCATGGACCATTATTGGCGGAGGGTCACTATAGTTGAGATTATTCTGAGATAATCGATAGTTGGGATTATTATAAGCGGACCGCCAATAGTTGGGATTATTACAATCAATTTTTTCTATTATATATTACTAGTTAATCTACTTATTATCTACTTATAAATATATATATATATATATATATATATATATATATATATATATATATTAAGTATATCTACTTATACACTTATTATCTAATTGTTACATTTATTAATTTCCTATCATAGTTGTTAATTGTTACATTTATTAATCTCTTATCATAGTAGTTAGTTGTTAATTCGAAATTAATTATTTAATTGTTAAATTAGTTAGTTTGTTAGATTTATTAATCTCTTATCATAATAGTTCATTGTTACATTTATTAATCTCCTATAAAAACTAGTTAATTGGTAAACTAGTTAATTCGAAATTAATTGTTTAATTCTTAAACTAGTTAATTGTTGCATTTATTAATCTCCTATAAAAACTAGTTAATTGTTAGTTTGTTACATTTATTAATCTCTTATCATAGTAGTTAAGTCTTGCTTTAAAAGAATATGCTCAAGGTTCTTTAAATCCCCAATTTTGAAACTATAGTCGCAAAACAAATAAAAAAGAAGTTATAAGGCAATATGTTTTGGAAAAGCAAAAATTACAAACGTTTTTTGCAAACTTTGATGGACGTGTTAGTATAAGTAGTGATATATGGGAGGATACTCATCATCATTTATATTATTTGAGTTTGATTGCACACTATATTGATGATGATTGGTGTATGCATAAACGTGTTCTTGCTTTTCGTGAATTTAATGATAGACACACCGGTGATAATATTTATATTCTCATTGAGCGTATTTTAATTGAGTATAATTTGATTAATAAGATGTTTGCAATTGGTTTTGATAATGCTACTAATAATACTGCTGTTATTCCTAGATTGTGTGAATTGTGTGGTTCATCTTCTTTGATGGGTAGGTTTTTTCTTCAGCGTTGTGCATGTCATATTTTAAAATTATGTGTAAAGGACGGCCTAGCGACGTTGGGAGATGCTATGGAGGTGGTGAAGGGAGGAATTAAACTTATTTGGGCTAGTTCTCAACTTAAGATGCAATGGAGAAATTTTTTGAAAGACAGACATGTCAAATATTGTGCTTTTCCTAAAGATTTGTCTATTCGTTGGAATAGTACTTATAACTTAATTAAGGTGCTTATTAGATTTAAAAACCATTTTCCTGCTTTTTTTTAAGAATATGCTAACTATATTATAAACCCGGCCGACATCGACACTTGTGAAAAAGTTTTGAATGTTTTGGTGTATTTTAATAATGCAACTCTAACTTTTAGTCATGTTTATAAACCTACCGCAAACCAATTTTTTGTTTAAGCTGTTAATCTCGCCGACGCTTTTTGTGAATTTGCTGATGCCGCTTACGTTAGTTATTTTTGTGACTTCATTAAACAAAAGTTTTTAAAATATTATTCCTATATTCCGCATATATATAGTATTACATTTATTCTTGATCCTCGTTTCAGACTTGCTGCTTTGGAGCAATGTTTAGATTACTATTATGCTTCTTTTTTTGGGCCATTGCCTATGTACGAAGACAAGGCTATAGACCCGAAACAACAATTTCAAGAGGTTAGTAATTTATTATATCAATTATTTAATGAATTTCATGCACAATATGGTAACACACCCCCTCCTCCGCCACGAACATCTTCTTCATCTAAAGGAAAATCAATTTTGAAATCTGCATTTGGCAATTTATGAAAAAAAGTAAATCGACTCCGGTTAATGAACAAAGCTCGATC